TTTAATATTTTTGTCACTTCCCTTTCATCATCTTGGTCTTCATTGATTGACAATGGTTCATCTGCTTGTTCAGTCCCTTCACTTTAATCAAGGCTTGCTGGCTCCACCTAAAACTGAGTTATCTCAGCTTGATTAGAATTTTTCAAAGTTACTTCTTGAATTACCTTCATTGTTGTTAGTAAACTTGCAAGGAAACACATTATCATTAAAAATTACATCTTGACTGATTATCACTCTAATCCTTTGGGCATCCTTTTCCCACAACCTATAGCCTTTGGTCCCTTCCTGGTATTCAAGAAATACACATTTTAGGGACCTAGGCTCCAATTTCCCATCTCAAGTGTGTGCATAAGCAACACACCCAAGCACCCTTAAGTGGCTAAGAGTTGGTCTTTTCTCTTACCATCTCTCTTCCAGACACTTAAACCCTATAGAGCTTGAGGGACTCCTATTGATAAGATAGGTAGCAGTTGTGAGGACTACCCCCCAAAAGATTTTTGTCAGTCCAGCAGTGAATAAGAGGCATCTCACCCTCTCTAAAAGTATTCTATTCATTCTCTTTGTAATCCCATTTTGCTGTGGGGTTCCCTAAACTATCCTATGCCTTAAAATCTCTTCATTGCTATAGTGTGTGTCAAACTCAAAGTTATACTCCAATCCATTATCAATCCTAAAAGCCCTAACCTTTTTATTTACTTCGTTTTCCACCAAAGTTTTCCAGCCTTTAAACTTGGTTAAGGCTTCATCCTTAGTCTTAAGAAGGTATACTCATACCTTCCTAATATAATCATCCACAGTAGAGAGGAAGTAACTATTTCCTCCATGTGACCTACCCCTCTCAGGACCCCAAAGGTCCGCATACAAATAATCCAAACAATTAGCAGCTAGGTCAAGTGTCATTTCTTTACAACAGACATGTTAGTGAATAGGAGTGCAATATTAAAAACATCAAAGTAATATTGACCACATAAAATATACAAGCCATTATTTTTAACACCTTTAAGTATAATATTACCATTTTTACACTTCTATACACCCATTAGAGATTTTATAGCAACAACTAGCTTCATCTAATGTTCCTAATGAGATCAAGTTTCATTTCAGTTCAAGTATATATCTAACCGTAGTTAACAATACCATCTTACCATTATTTAGTCTAATAGTTATATCACCTATGCCCTCGACCTCATAGGAATGGTTATTTCCCATGAACACTGTTTCTTGTTCACCAATTTTAAGTCTTTGGAACCAGTTTTTGTTTGGACTCATGTGGAAAGTACATCCAGAATCTAACACCCACTCTTTAACACAAGCAATATTAGAGACAGTAAGGGTTGCAAAAATTTCTATGTTACTGTTAGTGCATGCTAGGTTACTCTCAGTACTGACCTGTTTCTACTTTTTAATCCATTCATAACAATTCCTTTTAAGGTGTCCTGGTTTGTTACAAAAGAAGCACTTCCTAGTTTCTTCCTTAGGTCTCCCATTTCCCTTACCTTTCTTCTGGTTTTAGAGCCTAGATTGCTTTGAGAACTTTTTCCAGCTTCCTTACCAAACTAACCAAAATCTATCCTATGTTTTACAAACAGGTTATTACCATTCCTTTTCCGAATTTGCAATTCTAGTTCCCTAGATTTTAACCCATAAACTATCAAGACCACACTGGGGATAGTCCCACTATACTGTAACACATTCTTCACTACTAAATACTCCCTAGGCAAAGAATTTAACAAAATCATTACAAGAGTAGAGTCTCCTAGTTCCTGGTCAGAACCTTTCAGTGTTAGGGTCATCTTTAGAAACTCATCTAAGTTTACATCTAAAGACTTAGCTAAATCCATTTTATACGAAAACAAGGCACCTTTTAAAAAAGCCAAATTAGGAGCTAACTGAAGAGCATATAAAGATTCGAGTTTACCCCAGAGAGCAATTAGAGATTCCAAACCATCTACCTTTCGCAGTACGTTGTCAGATAAGTTCATGACGATCAAATTATAAGCTTTTTCTTCTACCTTTGCCTTCTTCTTTAGCTTTTCTTCGGACCATTTAGTGGTGTCCTTCTCCATAGTGATATCCACCTTATTATGGGATAGAAGAGCCTTCATCTTTTCTTTCCAGGTATTGTAGTAAATCTTCCTATTGTACTAGGAGATTTCCATGCACGTCATACTCATGATTTGGGTTCAATAGCAAACCCTAAAAAATCAAGATTGAATTTTTGAACTCGACCCTTAGAGATTGAAATTGATCTCTGACTTCCAAGAATTTTTGGAATTCTTGTTGATTTAGAAACCCTAAGACTCTAGAAACTATCAAATTAAAAAACCCCCTAATTTAACAAACCCTAGAAAATTTCCCAAATCAAGAAACCCTAAAAGAAAATTCGAGGAACCCCAAAAAACTCATCTTTGATACCACTGTTGTAAATTGAGTCTACCAAATCAAACCTTAATATTAACAAACAACCACAAATCAAAGCAAGAATAACAACACACGATCTTTTTACCCTAGTTCACTTGTTCAAGATTGAACAAGCTACGTCCACGTTGAGCTCCAGAATATGGAGGCTCGCTGCACTATTATTACCAAAGAATCACAAAGTACAAACTCAATCACACACACCCAATCGCTCACTCTCAAACACCTCAATCTTTCTACCCTTATCAATGTAAATCTACAACTTTTTAGAGAAACCTATTCCTACTTCTCTACCCTTGAAAGAGTCACAACTTTCAATTAGATTTACAACCAGATTTACACAAGAGATTAGAAAAATTAAGAACCCTAGCAGAGAGAATGTAATCACAAAAATACAAAGATTTAACTGTGCAAATTTGGGCAAAACAGCTGCTTTTATACCATTGACCGTCAGGGGTGATTTCAACAGTTGGATTAGTAGCAAATCAAGGGCCAAGATTGCAAAGATGATAACTCAAAACGACAGCATGTTCTAAAGCTCAAAACGACACCGTTGTGGGCTTCATATATTAACAAAAACCATGTGATGCAATGGAGAACGAATATTTAGGTGGTCGGCAAAATTGATAATGCTTAAAAACATGGTGGTCCATTGCAAGGCACCATATTGGTTTCTTGCAAGTGGGTTGTACTTTGGGACAGCTGAAAATCATCAAAAGCATTGATTATTGATCAGGATATAAGAAGATGAAAATTTCCTTGAAGTAATCACTTTTGATCTGCAATCATACGCGACAGGTAAACCTACATGTTCGGTCCAAGATGCTAGTAATCTGCCTAACAGATTTTCTGTGACTCAGATTTCCCATTGGAGAATCAAATTTCTATCAACAAAAATTAATTGATTCCTACTATGTTAAATCTTCTACCAGAAAGTTTCTGTTGATAGGTGTAGTTAATGCAGACAGCATGTGGACTACAGTGGCGAATTTAATGAATGACAAGTGGGAACCACAACCCCTACTCAATTTTTAAAAAATTTCAAATTTCAAATTTTATATTTATATTTATTTAATTTTTATCCCTATAAAACTCTAAGATTTTAAGAATAAAATAGTCTAGCCCCCACGGTAAGTTTGGATTTTATTTTGTAAAACCTCGTTTTTAATCCTAATATATTTATGACATATTGTTTGTGATTTTTATTTTTATCTAAGAGGATCTGTTAGTTTTTAAAAGTTTTATTGAGAGTAAAAATAAAAGGAATAAAAGTTGATAGGTTCACACGTAACTGAGGGAAGAAATTTGGGCATTTTTACAATAGAAAGCTGATCAATTTAATCATTTTGTTCTCCTCTGTGGGTGATGTGCTTGAGGTTATTGAAGAAGATGGTTTAAATCCTGAACAAAGGGGTGAAGCATGAAATCTATTAGATTTAATCTATTCCTTTGATTTTGCATTTAACTTGCATATGATGAAAAATATATTGGCAATTACTAATGATTTCTCACAATCATTATAAAGAAAAGATTAAGACATTGTAAATGCTATGGCCTTAATCAAAGTCTCCAAACGACGATTCAAATTGTTGAGAGATGAAGGATGAGAATTTTTGTTGGGTGAAGTTTCTTCATTTTGCCAAAAGTATGATGTTGTCATTTTGAATATGGATGATATGTTTGCAATTCGAAGGCGGCTACAACAGAGAGTTGAGCACATAACAAATTTGCATCACTATCGAGTTGAATTATTTTATAAAGTGATAGATATGAAACTTCAAGAACTTAACACTCGTTTTACTAAGGTTAGTATTGAGCTGCTTCTTTGTATGACATATTTAGATCTAAGTACTTCATTCTTTGCTTTTGACAATCATAAGTTGATGCGTTTTGCCCAATTTTATCCATTTGATTTTTCTGCACTTGAGTTGATGGTATTTGAGAACCAGACTGAGACTTATGTAATTGACATGTGTTCTTGTGATGAATTTGCTGAGTTACAAGGAATTGGTAATCTGGCTAAGAATTTAGTTCGATTTAAAAAAGACATTTTTTATTCGTTGGTGTATAAACTTGTAAAACTTGCATTGGTTTTACCAGTTGCAACTGCAACTATTGAAAGAGCTTTTTCTGCAATGAATTTTATGAAAAGTCGGTTACGCAATCGAATAGGAGATCAATGGATGAATGATTGATTGGTGACGTACATTGAGAAAGATGTATTTGATACAATTTACGATGAGATGATTATCCAATGTTTTAAGAGTATGAAAACTGGTCGAGGACAATTGTAGAAAAATTGTAGAAAAATTGTTTTATTTTTACAAAAATTGTGTTTTTTGAAGATATTTATTTATATTTTGTTACTTTTTATTGAAACTCAACGTTAAAAAAAAAAAAAAAAGTATGAATATGATTGGTTTTATTATTTTATTTTATTTTTTTTTGTCCCCATCGAGTGAAATTTTTGGACCTGCCATTGTAGACTTATGCATGTTTTTATCTAGAGGCAGCGAAATAATGTTGAAGAATAATCATATGTATTATAAATTTACAGTCGGATCAAACTTCATAAGTGTCGCCGATCATGGAGTACAAAAACCGCTGTCTACACGAGACATTTTATACATACAATTTGTATAAAGTTTTACAAAGATGTCTGATTTTACTCAGTAACCCCAAACAAGTGCTTGCTGGTTTGTATGCTCCTGGTAGAAAAGAGATGGTGATATGCAGCAAGCAGTAACAAAAGACATCAGCAAAGTGATTTCTAGATCTTTCTCTGCACCACGTTCAATTAACATAACTATGTACTCCATAAAGGAGGCATCACATGGCACTATGATAGGCCCATCAATCTGCAATCCAAACTCCTCTTGAGAAAGTTTTAATAGTTCTCTGAAAATCTTGTTATTAAGATATTCCAAGGGAATCACAAAGCGTTTCTGATCAGAAGTGTAGACAACAAAATGGCCCTTATGAGTAGGCGAAGATGCCGTACAACCATCACAGACTTCAATTCTAGGCAGAGAAATTCGCTTCCTTTTGATGGCAGCAAAATTTTGCCACTTCCTTTCCATCTTGGAGAGCTTCTTGGAACAAATCATGCTAGACATAATTCAGAGGGAGCCAATGGAAACAGGATTTTTTCGCGAGGTGGAGTGAAAACGGTTGAGGCATTAGTTAGTTATATAACAGAGTGGCCTGAAGACGCTTCCACTTGTTGTAGCTTTTTACAAGAAAAAACTTCAACTGTATGTTGTCTTGAAAACAACTGTAATTTTGTCCTGTTATCGCCTTGGAAATCTTGTACAAAGTTGAATGGCAGCCCATAGAAATTTTTCCTCACCAGTTTGGCCTATTGCCATTTCCAAAGAATAGGCATCTTAGCAATTCACCAAGTGCAAGATTGTACTGAACAATGAACAGAAAGAAACAAAGCAAGTCAATAACAGAATCACTAAGTCACTCTATAAACAAAGTACCCATTTCCTTTAAAAAGACAAAACCCCTCAAATATAACTACCTTGGGACTAAAATATTACAAATTAGAGCATTGTACGGTCCCGTGTATTATTCCTGTGTTTTGCTTGCAAACAAACAGAAAGGCAAGCCTCCAAGAATCTAATTAACATTTTCAAAGACTTGGCAGCTTAGCAATCCCCCAGGCGCAAATGTACTGAACACAAAGGAACAAAGAAAGTCAGTAACAGAACCACTAAGTTACAACATAAATCAAAGTACCCATGTTTGTCCTTTAAAAAGACAAAACACCTCCAATATAACTACGAGGACAAGTATACTACAATTTAGAGCATTGAACCTAAGAGTAAGGTTTATGATATTTTTCTCCCTTGCCGGTAACTAACTGAAAGGTCAGTCTCCAGAGATACTTTAATTAACTTTTAGACAAGTGACTAAATAACTGAAGCATATTTATTGGGGATTAAGGTTATGCTTACTTAGGATTGAATGAACGACGGATATGAATCTTAATTTTAATCCCTTGTTTGGTTCATAGGAGTTGCATTAGAAATAAGAATCCTATTCCTTAAGAAAGGGTGGAGTGTATAGGAGGAATGCCATCCATTACTAGTAATGGATGGCCAAAATGTCTAATTTACCCGGATCTTTAAATTGTGATTTTCCATTTTACAATAAATCAATTTATTTAAATTTAAATTATTTTATAAAATTCAATAATTATTTTATTACGATATTAATGATTAAATATTTCCAAAAAGAATTCTAAATTTGTAAAATTTTTAAACCGGTCAACATTGATCAAATTTGTCAGACGGTGAATTTATGTCACATTGCTAGCATTCATTGCAAACGCGTGAGCAATCACCAACCAGCAATTTGCCTATCTAGGCATATTTCAACCGCCAGAATCTAGCATCGTGATGAAAGGCCATCATGCGTGATGTCATATCACCAATTTTTGACAACCAAAATTTGCCCAAATCGGTAGATCGATGGCTTTTTAAAATATTCTTAATTTTAATTAAAGAAATAAAAAATTATATTATTAATAAAATAAATTAAGGGAATTTAGTCCAAAAGCAACAAATTGTTTCCATTCCATCAATATCGATTACAAGCAAACAAAGTAATCTCATTCTATTCATTATAATACTTTCAATTTTATTATTTTCATTTGATACTTTCATTCCATCAATTTCTAATCCATAAACCAAACATCGCTAAGTTAACATAAGGAATCTTTTTAGTTCCCATGCAGTTTCCAAGCTATTAACACATAATTGCAGTGCCATTCTTTGAAGTTTTGTGCACTCTTTTCAGTGTATTGGTAGGTATGGTCCATACCTACCAATGATAATTGCTTCAAACTCATGTGGAATCTTATAACAAGTACAAGATACCAACATATGTAGGATTTTGCTGCTAGGCAGCTTCAGTAAGATCATCTTCAAGTCCAATTTGCTTTTTTCTCTTTTTTTTTTTTTTAACTATTATCAGATACTCTCCGATACCAACAAAAAAATGGTCATAGTATTAGTATTACACATCAGGAAACTTTAGAAACCATAGAACCAAAGTTTTCATTTAATATTTACAAAAAAAAAATAATTACATAAATGTATACAAGTCTAAAGGGTCATGTTATCACTGTTTCTTCAATAGCTTAAAATAAGTGCTTGTTGATGGTTGTGTCCTAGAGCAAGAGAAGCCAACGCTGAGCAATTATATGTCGCCAGGGAAGTTAGCAGAGCTTCTCTAGACTCTCTGGTATGTTCCTCTGAGCAATGACATGACATACTCCAACAAGGTACTATCACAAGTCAATGTGAGGTCCATTGGTAGGAAGTCCAAATTCTCCCCGGACATTCTTAAGAGCTCACTAAAGACACTTTTCTGAGAAATTCCAGGGAATTGAGAACCGTATATCATCAGTTGTATACACAACAAAATGGCCTTTATTGAATTGATAAGGACTGGCAGCATCACTTTTTGGAAGTTGGTTTTCTCCCGCTTCATTGCAGCCATTTTTGCCTCTTTCTGGCTAATTCGATGAGCCTTTTGAGTTAATCATTATTATGATGGTATATTAACAACTAGGTTTAGAAGGTTAAGAAGAGATATTTCTTGGTAGGCTGTGCATGCAGAAGGCAATAGCAATTTGCTCTTATATATAGATGAGGAAAGACAACACCATAACAATATTGTTTCTTTGTGTTGGTTTGATGGATGTACCACCATGAGATCATTGAAGCCAAAAGATGGTAGGACTTGTGATCTTGTTTGGTGTTTGATAAGATCAAATCTGTGGGTAGGCCATAGTCACTTGTTAGGTATGCATTTGTCTTCTTATGCCGGCAGGGCTGTACTTAAACAGTTTAGAACTTAAAACTATGTGAAAATGAGATATAACTACGCATAATATCTTAGAAAGAAACAAAAACCCCATTTGGTTAAACACAGAAATGAAATATACTATCAGTTATAATTTCAAACGAATCTTTGGTTTGCATTGTGGTGTATAGGAATTGATGTTTGTTTGTGTCCATAATTGCATGTGCTTGGAATTTTACATGTCTATAGGAGCACAGTTTTGTCTTGTGGTTAAGGACAAAGCAGGCCCCAAACTCAAATATCGAGAAGAGGATCTATATTCAATGAAGGATTAAAAACTAATTAAGATTAACAAAGACATTGATATTGACTATGATGATTTTAATTTCTTATGTCAAGGTTTGGTCCAATAATAAAATTCTCATTGTGACAGTTAAACTAACAAGATATATAGTTCTCTAAAGATAACCTTGGTTTGCCTCAAGAGTAACTAATTATGGAGGAACTTTAGGGATTATAATAACATAAAGTATTTTTTACAGTATTGTAAATTGTATACAAAGACAATAATAAACTAAGATTGTAGAAGCGCAAACTAGTGAATGTTGGGTACTTTGCCCTGATTGTGGTATGAAGACCATAACAGCGACCGGTACTTAAGGACGTAAGCAATGCCTTACTACATATTTTGACATCCGCCTATGGATCAATGAGATTGCATAGTCCATGAAAACGCATCACAAGGCAAGTGATAGGCCCGCACCAGGAAGTCCAAACTCATCTTCTGCTATTTTAAAGAGTTCTCGAATGATGTTGTTTTTAAGATATTTTAAGGGAATAACAAAGCGTTCTGGTCTGCAGTGTATATAACAAAATGACTTCTCAGCCATTGAAGATGGGTGAAACCTCTGGTTTGGCAACCCCAGATGCTGTTGGCAATGAGATTCTTTTTCGCTTGCTTGCAGCCCGGTTCTGCCACTTCTTTGCCAATTTGATAAGCTTCTTTGGCTAATCATGTTTCTTGTTAACTAGAGAAAAAAGATCTTAAGTTATGGAAGAGAAATGTGTTGGATCTCAGAACACTGAAATGGTGTGGTTTCTTGGTGGAAGGCTATGGAAATGGATTGGTATATAGTCTCAGGTTACAGACAATCCCTTTAATGTTGCTTCCCCTGTGTAGGGACTTCTGCGAAGCACAGCCATGGATAGCACACTGAATCTGCTATTTAGGTGGTGGCTTGTTTGGTAAATCTAAAGATCAGCAATCAAGTGGGTCTAAACCTAGTGATGGCTCAAAATTTCATGAACCAGTCTCAACCGCAAGAATTTCATTGAATTGTGATTTTGGAATTAGTATTAATATGAAACAAACGAACCAGGCATGTTAATCCAACCCTAAAGCAGTGACTGCTAACAGAAACCTACTTAAATGAGATTCTGACATCTCAGTAGATATTCAAATTAATAGTAACAGTGTTGAAGGTTGATACTGGCTGAAATGCAGCAGTTCAAACTGTGTTAAACATGTTTTTGGCGGGTAAACTGAAAGGCAATCTGCAGGGGTCCATTTGTAATACTGCAAAGTTTTACTCATTTTGTAATTGCTTGATAGTATCCCAGATTATGTGGGATGTGTACATAGTTGTTGGCTAGTTGGTATTAAGTCAGTAGCTTCAGATTAAACAAGTTTTATATGTCTGCATGTTTGGTGTAATGTGTAAAATTTGCTTATTAGTTATAGTTGAAGTGTAAACTCATTTTAACTTAAGAAAATACAGGCACTTTCTTCAATCGGATTATGCTCTCATTCTTTTCTTGGTTATCTCAGCACATAAACACATACATGGTATCAGGGGGGTTGATTACCAAAAACTAAACATTTCCCAAACAACTCATCCAGCCCACCGGAAAACTGCTTGCACCAGACCGTGTTTTCTTGATCAAATGATCCCCAACAGCTTCTCTTCTACCTGTGTTCAACGGTGAACATACCATATTTGGTCAGTTTAAATGAAGGCTTACTGAGGAGCCAGGACTCTGGCAGTATGTAGAGGAAGGAGACAACCCCTCAGTTGGGACCAAATCCTACCCTCAATCAAATCCGAATGCATGAAGAGGAAGCATCAAGAGCTCCAAGAGCCCTGTCACAACATCCACTCAGCCGTCACAGACCTTGTTTTTACAAGGATTATGGCATGCGAAACTACTAAGGAATCATGGGACAAGTTGAGAGAAGAGTTCATGGGAAGTGACACTACAAGGAACATGCAAGTTTTGAATTGAGAAGGGAGTTCGAAACTTTAAGGATGCAAGAGGCTGAGAAGGTGAAAGAATATGTTGATAGGTTAATGAA